TGGATTTTCAAGATTTTATTAAAAATCGAATTTTGATGGAGGCCAATTTTTGAAATTTTGAATGTCCATAAACTCAAACACTCAAAATTTGGACCCGATCGGTTTAGTCGTTTTGCAGAGGTTTATTGAATACAAACAAATATTTAAAAATAAAAAAAACACCAAAGCAATATTGTTTGCTACATTTGAGAAATATGAGAATTCCGCGAAAAATCATCTATAAAAATCTGGACTGAATGTCATCACATTTACAAACACCTGGCGGCAAATTGGATTTTTCTAATGATTTTTGTTTGTTATATCTCATTTATTTTTCAACAGTTTCGACGGTTTTTGTCAAAAAAAATATTTTTTATTCTTCCATTTACATTTCAATATCTTTAGGCCTCTTGCATGACATATGTTTATATTGATTCTTTATGAGAAAAATGTTTATCTTTTCTCTACAACTGTCTTTAAAATCCTGTAAATCCTGGAATAAACTTTTAAAGATTTAAATTGAACCAACTGTTCCCAGTCCGTTTCTGAAGTTAGGAACTATATTTTAAAATATTCAAACTGAACCAACTGTTCCCAGTCCGTTTCTGAAGTTAGGAACTATATTTTAAAATATTCAAACTGAACCAACTGTTCCCAGTCCGTTTCTGAAGTTAGGAACTATATTTTAAAATATTCAAACTGAACCAACTGTTCCCAGTCCGTTTCTGAAGTTAGGAACTATATTTTAAAATATTCAAACTGAACCAACTGTTCCCAGTCCGTTTCTGAAGTTAGGAACTATATTTTACAATATTTAAACTGAACCAACTGTTCCCAGTCCGTTTCTAAAGTTAGCAATTATATTTTACAATACTTAATACATTTAGTTCATATATATTCATAAGTGTAAAAGATTGCAGTGGTCATGTGTCTATCTCTGTATCACATCACCAGTATACTGCACTCTCATTGGTGGGAGTTCTTGTGACGTAATACGGATTAATAAATAATATTATCAATTATATTTATTAAAAATAAAATAAAAATTATAAAATAATAATTGGAGTAAACTAAGATACAATTAGGTTTCTCTGGGATATCTTCGTTTTCAAATTGCTGAATATGATATGTTTAAACCTACTATTTAAACGCACTGTCGTATTAAGAGATTCCAATTTCAAGAGAGAAATTCCCGATGTACCTTTTGAATATTTATCTTAACAACAATCATCGTTTATTATTTTGAAACTGTTAAACTTACAGTCTCAATTCACAAGTCACTTTAGTAAAGAAACCACGTGTGGAAATGATAAATTTTTAGTTAGAAAAAATAAGATATCTTTATTATATTTTACTAGGATAAAGGTTTGAAGAGCACCGTTACTTTACTTTCTTTTCTAAGTTTCTTAATTGTAGTGCTTTATGTGTACTTCCTTTAATTAAGAAAGATTTTAAAAGTAAACAGTTTAAGATAAACATTTTGTACAAACAACTGAGTACTAGACTTGAAAGATTACAGAAGGAAAATGAGAATAACACATTTCGTAATTAAACTAAGTGCTATCAATTAATTAACATTCTGTTTTTATTTTCAAACCTTTGACATCTTTATAATTAATATATTCAGTAATAAAGATATTCTCAATTTTCTATTTAAAAATGGATAATTTTGCGTTTATGAACACAAATTGAAGTCTAAAGCAATAAAGGCGAAAAAAAGATTTATTACAATTGAAAAAACAAAGGTATCCGCCAAAATTGTACTTTACACTTTTAACTTAATAGCCAAAACAACGTTACAAATGCCATTAAAGTACAAAAAAAAGAAGCAAGGTTTCCACAAGAAATTTATGTAGATTGTGAAACATAAATATTACTTCTAAAATTGAGAATTGACAACAATGTTTTGATAAAACCCAGACATAAAACAAAATCATAATAGGAATAAAAATAAGAAATCTATTTTCTACAAGATACACAGTAATTCAATGTGAGCAATTTTCAGGCAAAATTCATTAGCATTTTGACAATCAATCCTTTTTAACTAAAGCCAGAAACATTGTAGTTTGATATCAAGCAGTACAGAAAATACTGTAAGTGAGTTTGTAATTTAAAACCAAAGACTAAGAGTTTCAACACTTCAAAAAGAACCCAGTCTTGAAATTGAGAGTCAAAAAAGAAAAGGAGTATTGACTGAATCAGAATTGAGTTTGAAAAAAATCACAAAAAAAATTCTACTTCATGCTATAATGCATCTGTAATAAAACAATTTTCGTGAAACCGCCTAGAGAAGTTTAGTGAAATTGGCGATATCATTTTGTGGGTATAGATATGAAGTATATTCTGCCATGATGTGCAATTCTAATTTATTATCTGTATTCATAATATTATTATCTTAACTATTTGTATGTTGACCCAGCCGGGCTAGCCCGGTCAGTTCATTTTACCTGTTTATAAATAAAGTAGTTGAATATCATTAGTTGATCAGAACGGACGTATACAGAGCCTTGAGTTTTGGCTAGAGATTTAGTTAGAGAGAATCTCATTAGACTTTGAGTTAAGTAATCGTTAGAGAAGTAGCGTCTAGATTTGTTACAAAAGTGGTGGCACCGGTGGGATTTAAAATAACCCTAAATCTAGATGCCCGAGACCCCGAAAGTATATAAAAATTGGAACGCAATTGTGTTTCATTTTTCAATGGCTTTTCAAAAATGTAAGTTTCAGATCTGTAGCTTTAATAATAACAAAAAAGATGGGCTATCTTAGATTTTTTAATCATCAACTAGCCTTTAAACCATCTTTTAGCCTACTCAATGCACCAAAACAAATTTATTGCAAAAAATTACTATTTTTTAAAGTCAAGAAATTTCTTACAGTTAAACCCTTAATAACGAAAACATCGAAAGAATTCATCAAATGTCGTATTCTTCACTTTCTAATAATGGAATGTTGCAGATATTTAGTTTTTTAATTAAATGATTATATGGAACTCTTTAAAACTGTTCCCGCATATTCATGGCTATTTACTTATTTTCGCAAATACTGAAATTTACGTAATATAGTATAACACTCATTGAAAAATTGTCACGACGACATTTGATAAATTCTTCCGATGTATTCTTTATTAAGGGTTTCACTGTATTAAAACGAAAGTGGCCACACAAACCTTGAGGTGGAAGTTGGGGTCGCCAAACGCATCCCCCCCTACCGTTTAGGGGTTGAAAGAAGGTTTAAGAACTCAATTTTAATGATTAAAAGAATTCCCTCTAGTTTCTGCAAGAATTAAGACAAATTATTAACTTGTAAATTATAAAGACAATCTTCTTAATCTTCTCCTGCTGTTTAAGTAACATAGTTTCTCTTCTTAATTTTCTCCTGCTGTTTAAGTAACTTTGTTTCTTTAATTAATCTTCTTCTGCTGTTTAAGTAACATAGTTTCTCTTCTTAATCTTCTTCTGCTGTTTAAGTAACATAGTTTCTCTAAATAATCTTCTCCTGCTCTTTAAGTAAGATAGTTTCTCTAAATAATCTTCTCCTGCTGTTTAAGTAAAATAGTTTCTCTAAATAATTTTCTCCTGCTGTTTAAGTAACTTAGTTTCTCTAAATAATCGTCTCCTGCTGTTTAAGTAACATAGTTTCTCTAAATAATCTTCTCCTGCTGCTTAAGTAACATAGTTTCTTTAAATAATCTTCTCCTGCTGTTTAAGTAACATAGTTTCTCTAAATAATCTTCTCCTGCTGCTTAAGTAACATAGTTTCTCTAAATAATCTTCTCCNTTAAGTAACATAGTTTCTCTAAATAATCTTCTCCTGCTGTTTAAGTAACATAGTTTCTTTAAATTAATCTTATCCTGCTGCTTAAGTAACATAGTTTCTCTTCATAATCTTCTCCTGCTGTTTAAGTAACTTAGTTTCTTTAATTAATCTTCTAACATTTTACTTCTTCTTCCAGAATACATTCTTACTTGACAAGACATTTCTTCTGTTGCACTTCCTACTCTTGGTTAAAGGACATTAAAGAAAACAACCTCATTCTGGAAAAATTAGCTTTAAAAGCGAGGAAAACTGTGGAATAGGAACTCGACATTAAAGCAGTATTTAAAGATGTATTTAAGATGTTGATACAAAGTATATAGTTTTACTAGTGCCTTACAGTCACAGATCAGAGAAAATGGTCTGAACACACTTCACAATATCTAGTCATGGTATAGCAAGAATATCAAAAGATAAAAAAATGTATTTTAAAACGATATTGACAGTGACATTAAAAATATATAAAAATAATTATAAATGTAAATTTTGTTCTTTCCTACAGTGACAACCAGAAAACTCTGAAATAGGAAGACAACTTTAAGACTCGAATTTTGACTTTAAACATTCCAATCAGTATAAGACACAGCAATTGTGCAGTGTAAACAGACCCATATCACTTAATTGCTGAATTAATAAGTGTCTAGAACACAATTTGTTTTTGCTTTGTAACAACATCAAATACACTTTAGAATTGATATAATGTCGTCTTCGTATACCATTGATCTCTGGTTCTGTGTACAATATTTCCTGTAATTTTAGGCTTATTTTTCCAAGGATGAGTTTTTTTTCCTAACACCCTTTACATTCCTCTTTCCATCTCATTTTGTTAATGCATTTCTCTTATTATTTTTAATCAACATTCCGCTGCCTCATTCTGTATTCAGTATTCACTTATTTATCATCTTATTTATCCTTCAAATACTGCATTTTTCTATTCCTATTTCACCCATTCAAATCTCTATTTATCGCCCGAACTACTAAATACGAACCAAAATAATGTTCACAACAAAATGTACGAAACAAAATCATGATCTCCAACATTGCATTCTCTTTTCCTTTCTCCCATCAAATTTTCTTCATACTTCTCCTTACCTTTTTACTAACACAAATTTTTCTTTTTACCACTTTTCCACTAACCAACAGTATAATAGTTCAAAATGAAGTTTATTTAACCCCCCAAAAGTTTTTATTTTTAAACTTTAAAAAATCACCTGAATGAAGTTTGAGGTTGCAAAGTGGTTTTCATGGCAGAGGGAGTAGGACAGCTTTCTATTTTTCTTTCTCTTTCGCCTATACAATAAACATGCAACATTCATCAAAACTTTGAATTTCAATTTCTTTTTATATGGACGCCATTTTCAATACGACTATAATAAATAAGTTCCGCGGCAATAATAGTGTCGTCTTTTTCTTCTTTTGTTTTTATCTTACCTCACAGATTCTCTAAGAATAATCGCATACTCAGCAAGAGAGAGAAATACTGAAAATAAATTCACAACATTAATTAATTGTATAAATGTTAGTTGCAAAAAAAGTTATTAATAGGAATATTTACCGATGAATATGCAAGCTAAGAACCAAACTTCTAGAGCCGTTACTGAAGTTGCGACTGGTATGTTTATCCTAAAATATTTTTATTGAATTTTTGTGACTAAAAATAAAACCACCGAAACAAATGTGTCAAAATTACAGATGCGCGTGGCTTTGCTTCTTGTGCCGCCAATTTTTATTTAAATTTATATTAAAAATGCCAAAAATGTTTAAGCTGGTACGTATGTGAGTCATAGAATCCTAGTTTTATTATAATCTAAAACGTTCTTAGTTATTTTAACCAAGAAAAGTATCATTTCCCTTAAAAAAATGACTTTTAAACTTTTGATATGTTTTAGCTAGCGCCTAACAAAAACAGAAGTTCATTTCATAATCATGGATATCTAGCAACTAAAAAGTTTTAAAAAAAACTTTCAGGAAAAATATAGATTTGGTTTGAAAGTAAATTAACGCCTTTTCCAAAAAATTATAAACGTTTAAAATAAAAACTTTGAGTATGTCTATAGAAAACTAATTTTTGAATTGAAAGGAAAAGGGGGGGGGCGAGGAGATGGGGACCCGGGGGAGGGGTAAAAAAAAAGTTTTTAGGAAATTACCAAAACTTTATTTATCATACAATTAATCACACATCAAATTATCATTTAGCATTTATATAAAAAAAAAATACCGGTAAGTTTATAGTAGATTTAGTTTGAAATCAAAATTTCTAAATTTTTAAGAAAACTTTGATTTCTGCACTCCAGTGATTTTGGTTACAATAATTTATTGAATTTGAAATATATTGATTGAATTTCGTTTAGGTGGAGGTGAGTAAACTAATAAATATTTGGGTCTGAGTTGTATACTTTTATACTGTTTATAATCAAATATCAGCAGGGATAGGAAGCAGAAGAAAAGGGAGAGAATATGGAGGGAG